AAAAAAAAAACAAAAAAAAACTACAGAGCCATTCTATGAGCCGTTATGCCGCGACTGAAAAAATTACGAATTATGTTAAATGTACTGAAAACAATTTGCACTGTACAAGTTATGTTGATTTTCAATTTAATGTAAAATCTGAAATACAAACACACATATATGTATCCCGAAGCTGTTTACTGCAGCACTTTAGAAGCTATCAGTATGCAGTTGTTTATCATGAGACATACTACAGAGTCATGCATGTTTATTTTGGAAATGTAGACACTGAACAGTATATGGTAAACAATTAAACACACAAACCAAACATAAAATTAGTCAAAACTTCCCATTCATTTGATTTATGTACAAGGTTGCTCAAAAGTGAATATAGAAATTAAAAAAAAAATCACTTACTTTTCCATTATCTTTTCTAACTTTTATATAAACAAACAAACACACACATATCTATATATAAAGAAAATTATGCTTGGAAATCACTGCATTAACTACTTTATTCAGCTTATATACTAAACGTATTAGTTAGTTAATACAGTTCTTTTAGTGATTACTGGTAAAATAAAGACAAAAACATTCCGCGACTTTAGGCATTATTTCCCCTGACTGTATATAGCCAGAAATGGGATTTCAGTGTGGGGCAGCCAGCTAACTTCTGGATCATCCTATAAATAAAGGATAAGTTCAAAAATATCTTTCCCAGATTGAGAAATGGGGAGAACACAGATTGGTCTTTTATGGTCAAAGTAAGCCTCCAAAAACATGTTCATGTAAAATCAAAATTATATGGATGAAAATTAATTTCATTTTGGATTCGGAATAAAAACAGAACATGGTTGTACAACAAATACATCCTAATTTTAAAATTATTTTATTTTATTTGAAAAATGACATTGTAATAAATTGAACTTATTCTATGATTCATCATTCCCATCCTTGGTTAAAAAGAATTTTCCACAACATTTCAACCATTTTTTGTGACACTTTATAGCCTTGCATCACCACCCCTTGCATCTGATCCATCATTACACCTTTTCATTTTTTTAAAATTTTGTTTAATTAATCACGTTTTAATTAAGTTAATTGTTCAATCTGATAATGCATCATATAAATTCACAGAATTCCATGGCTTCTCTAGGCCTAAAAATAATATTTGAAAATGCTCAGGTTTTCCAGGGAACTCTGCAGATTTTTCGTGTGAACATTTCAATTTCAATGCTAAAACATGTATACACAGTTACACATTACATTTTCTATGCATATTCTAAATCACTGTTAAATCTTGTATAATAGGAGTCTCATTAGGTCCAGAAAAACAAAATAAATAATATCTATACATTTTTTTTTTTCAATTCAATGTGTGGTATAAGCATCAATTTCAATTTTAACTTTAGTTTAATTGTATTCAACAGGATATTCGCTTTTATCAAGTAACCTTTTGGGCAAGAAAAAGTCAAACAAGCAGTTGAGAAATGTTTGTTCAAGTAACCAAGAGAAATTGGATAAAAATCGGTTACAGCCACATGGTTTAACTTTTTCACAAAGTCATGTCATATATTTAGAAAAAATACTTTTAAAAAGGGTTTATCAGTTTTTCCAAGCTACCACTTCAACATGTCAAGTCTCTCAGTTTGGCCATAAAATTTTCTAAATTATTTTGCAAAAGGAAGAGGAGGAAACTTGGAAACATATAACCAGAAAATGTGTTCATTTGCTGCAAAAATGTTTCTCAGATGTTTCACAAAAGGAAATAAAACTACCTCTCTTGTATCAAGCTTTATATTACTTTATTTTACTGTTAAAAATATCTTCTAGTTCCAATGTGCATTACACCTTTTACATCTACAAAAAACAAACAAACAAAAACCCTTGTTTACATTCTGTTCTTTACATATCATTGTTCAAACAGGAAAACATTTAAAATGAAAGCACAAGAATATTCTTATTTTTTTTATAGCTTGAAAGTGCCTCTTTGTTAAACAAGTCTAACAGAAGTAGATGTCACTGAACTACGATCTCAAGAGCTCTTCAGGTTTACATCTTACAAGAACAAAAGTGTTATACAGAACTAACAACAACAATAAAATAATAGAATGTAACACTGTTACATTCCACTACAACTATATTAAACAAAAATTAAACATGTTAACAAAACACAGAGACAAATCTAGTCTTCTGGAAAACAGGGACAGAAATAATAGGAACACAGCATCTAATGGACATAATGATATCATTAGTCACATATCTAGTGGATATAGAAGGGAAACTAACAGCTACACATCTAGTGGACTTAACAATGACACTAAGAGTTACATATCTAGTGGGTTTAACAGGGAAACTAACAGCTACACATCTAGTGGACTTAACAATGACACTAAGAGTTACATATCTAGTGGGTATAAAAGGGAAACTAACAGCTACACACCAAGTGGACTTAACAATGACACTAAGAGTTACATATCTAGTGGGTATAAAAGGGAAAC